AATTATATGGATTACCAACTTCACTTGTTTAATATATTTTTAATATAGAAATTATTAATACAATTAATTAATAACAAAAACTCCTAATAAAAATTATAATATATAAAGGAATAAAAAAATGGTACATTGCAATGAAAAATCCAACGGTAAGACATTAACTTTTTTTTTTCAAAGACATCATGGTAAGACATTAACTGGAATTTCTAAATGACATCTGTATATCTGTCATTGTAAAATTGCATTGACTATTTCAACAGAGATCAAATTACATTATTTATTCTTGTGTAATATAATTATTTCAATTATCATTATTTATTATTGCGTGAATTTTTGTTAAAAAAAATTCGGGTCATATTTCAACAGTTGGAAAAATATCACTGGAATTGTAAAAATTTCAACAGAAGTTCTATTCGAAATCTACCTATAGTGGTGGATACAAAATAATTTCATACTTGAGGCATTATTTGGTTAATAGAAAAAGTATACCATTAAAATAACATAATGTTATTATAATTTATAAATTATATTTTTCATAATTTCTCACCTTTCTCATCTGTAGTACATGTTTAACACATCAATACAGTTATAATTAAAAAACATAACTTCTCTCAATTCAACATAAACAAATCAATGAAAATAATATATTTTTAAAAATTTTATGAACAAAAGTTGACTCGACAATATTATTAATGAATTTATGAATTGTAAATATTTAATTAAAATATTAATTAAAAAATTGTAATTAAATACAATATAATATAGGATATATAAATATTTGATATATAATGAGACAGATGATCGAAAAAATTCTATACTTTATATTATGTCTTTTTTGACAAATCTACAGTTAAGAATATGTTAAAGAAAAAGATAAAGTTTTAAAAAAAATATGAAATATAAGAAATAATATGAATAATAACTAAGTTGTGACACGTACTAATAAATATAAAACAAACTAATAAACAAAAATAATATAATTAATATAACTAAATATAAACCTTCTAAAAATATACTTATCGATGTAATTGAACTGAGTTGTTAAATGTTTGTTAATCTTTTGTTCTTATTAATTTTATGTGTTAATTTGAGGTGATACGACAATAATAATTTGTACATTTATCCATGTAAATTAGAAAAAAAAAATCTTTATTATTCTAATTCTAAATAACTTTTTTATTTACTATATTAGTTTTTTAATATAATAAATAAGTATCATATTGAACATATAAAAAGAGAACTATTTTAATTATAAAATATTTAATATGTAAGAAGTGTAACTCAATTGATAAATTAATAGGTAATCTTGAGATAAAATAATGAGTGATTTCTGAAAAAAAAAAATTATAGGAACTAAAAGGTTCACGTGTTTAATATATTTTTAATAGAAAAATTGTAAATACAATTACTCAATAAATACTACATAAAAAATAATGTTTGAGAGGACTACAAAAAATTGCTATACTGCAATGAAAAACTCAACGGTAAGGTATTCTACTGAAAATTCCCACGAATATATTGCTTTCATTGGAAAATTTCATTGGCTATTCCATTAGTGTTCAAATTAAATTACATGAACTTTAGTGGATTCAAAGATTTCGATTAACATGAATTTATATTGAAATTTTTTATTTCAATCGTTGAAAAATTTGTCATTGGTATTATGCAAAAATTCAATAGAAGTTCCATTGGGAAGATATTTGCAGTGCTATATCCAAAATAATTTCATATTGGGAGCATTATTTAGTTAATAGAAAAAAATATACCATCAAAATAACATGTCATTGCAATTTATAAATTATACTTTACATAATCTATCACTTTTCTCATTTGTAATACGTTTTAATAAATCTATGCAATCACAATAAGGTAAAATATATTTAAGAAACCAAAAGTCAAAATTTTTCTTAAACCAACATTATATTTGTTGTATTTTTTGTTGGAATTTTCTCATTTTCTTGTAGTAAAACTAGGACTCCAAATCTATAAAAAAATGTATTATATATAATATTGTGTGCAACTATTATTATGAAAATTTTTGATACGATAGAAAATATAACACATTCAATGTAATTGGCGTTCAATTTATGCTAAGAAGTAATTTTTTTCAAAACAAACAAGATACTTTGAAAGATCTTTAATTATTTTAATAGTATTATAATAACTAAATAAGGGGTAAGAATAATGACAAAACTTATATCTCTCATTAAATTCAAAAGTAAAAATGCTGATAAAATTACTTAATGTACAATATCAATTGAAGCTGACTAATGAGAAATATAAAACATACTTAAGATACACCTATATTTCAACTAGAACTTTTAAGTACATAATATATATATATATATATATATATATATATATATATATATATATTCATATATATATTTCTTTAAAAGTGGGTATGTTAATCTTAAAATTTTTTAGTTAAGATTTTTACTACTTTCTATCATTAAATTTTTTAATTTTAAAAAACTTCATATTTTTTTATTTGTTACCTTTTATATGTAATATATCACATCATTTATTTTCAATGATGTTTGAGTTGACCCATATATTGCAATAACATAAAAATAATATAATTATTTATATTGATATAAAATAATATATATATATATATATATATATCAGTACTAATTTAAAATAATAAATTGGTGTTAAAGTATATAATGTAGTAAATTTTATATTCAAGGTAAATCAATTTTATTAAGTATAAAATAGCATAAGATAAACTTGTGGTATGTTTTCATACATAAATTTGAAACAATTCCTATTAAAAAAAAGTAAAAAAATGGGTGTAAACTTGTAACTGTTCCCACGTTTTGGCTAGAGCGCCCAAATCCGATATATGTTTGACACGAGTTTGTCGTAATGCTGAAACTATGGCAAATGCACCTTAGGGTACAAACGAAGCGAAACAACGTAAAGTCATAGATAAAAGGAAAGACTAGGTCAGAGAAAATAAATGAAATAACATTAGCTATGTGAAGTCAATTACTACTGAAAAAGGAACCATATAATGGTGGTACCATATATGTATTCAGTGATTATGAAAATGACTTAGTTAATTAATATTTTATCAAACATTGGAAAAAATTCTAAACTTTTTAATCTATTAATTCGTATAAAAAGTACAACTTTATCAAATATATTACATTACATTTAATCTTATGTGATTATATTAATTGTAGCCTAATAAATAAGATAATTTGATAACATCATTATATAAAACACATATGAAAAATACTGTAATACGTATAAATGTGGTTTAATTACTTAGCAAATAAAATATTATTTG